GATCGACATCCACTGGGGTAAAATCAGCCTTGCTCTGTAGACTCCAGTACAGAACAGACCTCATGACATCATCAACCCATTGGTGAAAACATGGCTGAAAGATAAAACTCATAATATACATTTTTGAAGCAATTATGAGTTTGGGATTACCACAAACAGGAATATATTACTTTTTAGGAAAATTACAGCATATTTAGGCCAGCATGCCTGAGCTTTGATTTTAGGGTGCAGCTGCTCCAGGGAACTATGAAGACTCTGGTAGTAGCGCTCTGAAAAGTTCTCTGGAAGGAAGAACCACTGCCAGACCTCATCAGTCTGTCAGTGCCGTCTTTTCTCTACTACCACAGACTCAGTCAGTGGAAGGGTCAGAGGTCATCTAGAGACACAGAGCTAATCCTATTAGCATAGAGAGGTGCTGTAGTTCTGCCTGAGCTCCAGTAGGGGGAGCAGAGCTGTTGCTTCAGACTTTCGCTCCGCTTCTATTCCGCATGTGAAGCTGATTTGAGCCGAAGTTTACTGCAGAGACATCAACCTCTGCCCCCTGGTGGCTTGAAAAGGTATCTGCACATTTCTATGAGATCTGAAGCACAGAAATGTTCCAGATCCATCTGATCCAGCTGATCCTCACGATCTCACCTGTGCCTGTCTGTCCTTCTCCAGGTGTGGTGGTGCTCAGGAAGTGGATTGCTGGTGGAGTGTGCCGCTGTTCAGTCCGGCTGGATGGGAAAACAGTTCTGGTGACCGGAGCGAACGCGGGCATCGGGAAGGAGACCTGCAGAGACCTGGCAGGGAGAGGTGAGACGGCTGCTGCTCACCTGGTGGACAGGTGTGCTCCGGTTCAACCTGACTGCTTCCAAAAGATGTTCTGACTGGTCCAGAACCCAAATCAATAATTTACTCTCATTATGAACCCGGCCAGAAATGGACCTGAGAATGATGAAACGCTGTTTATGTGAACATTAAAATGTAACTAAACCAGATTATACTGCTGATATTTAGGGTTCTGTCTTTCCATGTCAGTTTGTTTAGTTCTGCAGGATTTTATGTAAAGCTGTCTCAGTGCTGCCCTCTTAGTGTTAAACTGAGGTACTGCAGGCGAGTCTTCCTGTTTTGAGGTGGTCCAGATTTCTAGTTCACTCACATCTGATATCTGGGAAAAACATTTAATGACTAAAAAAACTTTGAGGACACTGTATTTATCTGTGTTTATAGGAAAATGGAGATTTAGGGTTCCACGCATTACATTGTGCAACAAATGATGTGACGATATTTCACAAACTCGGTTTGACACGATTCCTAATCGACTCATGTTGTATTAACTTTATTATGTAAAACTCAGTTTGAAAGCAGTTCAACGCATGGATGGACCTCCTGGCTCCACGTTTGATTCCTAACAGAAAGTGCTGGTTGATTTGGAGCATTCTGATTGGCTGACAGGATTTAGCTTGACACTGCACTTCCTCCAATGGGTTTGGGATGTTTAAAGCAACGCTAAGTGGCAGATTGGGTCATGTGGATCAAAGCTTCCCGTAAACTAATCCTTTGTGTGTGATGTGATTTTCTTAAATGATGTGGTGGAGATATTTATCTTTAGAAACACCTGGCTACGTCTGGAGAAGTCCCCAGATACACAGTGCCACCCTGTGGAGAGTCAGGAGGAAGCACAACTAAGAACCATATCACTAGATCAGTTGTTTTTGGTAAGAAGTCATTCGAGAGTCGTAACAAAATTTGTAAGTTTTCAACAGTCCTCTCTTGACCACAGCCCCACACTTAGCCACACACCTCTGTCTCTTGGCTCCGCCCACTTTGGTGGAATGTTCACTAATTTGTCAGAGGCGGATTTCCCTTTCAAAAGGGTTTAAAGTTTTGACTGGTTGTCATTGGACTCTGGTCTCCAGTCCATCACCAGCAGTTATGAGGCAAAGATCCTGAAGCTGGGATGAGTTTCCTCCACAGGAAACTCCATCATCCAGCAGGATATCAGAGCTAATCCGCTCTGCTGGGCTTATCTCCTGGGCATGAATCGCTGTCAGGTAAATCCATAATCAGCTCCTGAACAGCAGGGTATGTGGGTTCGCCAGGTGCCCGGGTGGTAATGGCCTGCAGGGATCTGAAACCGGGCCGAGCGAGCAGCGGACGAGATACGGAAGTCTACCGGAAACGGGAACGTGGTGATCAGACACCTGGACCTGGCTTCCGTCTACTCTGTCTCACAGTTCGCCAAGGACTTCCTAGACAGTGAAGACAGACTGGACATCCTGGTCAACAATGCAGGTGAGCTCATCTGTCCTTTTTCTCTCCTTGTCTGTTCCTGTGCTCACCTGTCTACATTCTGCAGGTGTGATGATGTGCCCTAAATGGATCACAGAAGACGGCTTGAGACTCAGATAGCCGTCAATCACCTGGGTCACTTCCTGTTGACCAATCTGTTGCTGCCATTGCTGAAGAGCACCACCTCCAGCCGCGTAATCAACGTGTCATCCATTGCCCACTGGGGAGGTGTGACCTCTAACCTCACCATCTTAACGTATCTGATCCCTGCAGACAATTGAAGTCTGTTCTGGTACCCAGGGAAGATCAACTTTGATGACTTGTTCTTCAGCCGGCGACCATACAGCGCGCTGGAGAGCTACAGGCAGAGCAAGCTGGCGAACGTCCTCTTCACCCGAGAACTGGCTCGACGTCTCAGAGGTTCACGCAAGTCCACACACACTAGAACAACCTTGGATCCAGAGGTGACCTGCTCTCACCTCTGGGTCCAAGGTAAGAGAATATCTCCAGAGGAAGTCCAGTCCTTTAACTAGACCCTAAGAAGACTGACTACCTGCATGGCTAATGCTTCTGAGCACATTCCTCCTGTATGTCTGACAAAGTCTGACAAAATCTCCAGACAACCAACACCCTCCACCCCATCTGATTCCCTTTTCCCCCACCCACTTCATTAACACTGAAGATGATGTGATGATGTCATCAGCACTGTGCTAAGATTGGTTCATAATTGTATCTTCACTTGTTCTACAGGATCTGGCGTGTCAACCTTCTGTCTTCATCCTGGGGTGATCCGGACTGAGCTGGGGCGGCATGTTGAGGGCTGGTTTCCCCTGCTGGGGGCGCTGCTGAGGCTTCCTGCCCTGCTGCTAATGAAGACTCCCTGGGAGGGCAGCCAGACCACCGTGTTCTGTGCCGTGACGCCAGGCCTGGAGGAACTTTCAGGCCGATACTTCAGGTAGGAGGGGGGCTTACCTGGTCAGATGGACTTTCGACTGTTTTGGGGAGGTTTTGTCCTGGTGGACCGAGTGACGTTCAGAACCTTCTGTGTCCACAGTGACTGTGGAGAGAAGGAGGCGGCGCCGGAGGGACAGGACGACGAGGCAGCCCGGAGGCTGTGGAGGAGAGCGCCGATTGGTCAGACTGAAGGACACCTGCTGACCTGTGACCTGCTGGCTGACACACCACAAAAAGAGACAACAGCAGTGCCCCTCTGCACAGAGCGAGGAAGACCAAACAGGACCAGTGCTAGAACCTTAAGTGGTCCGGTCATCCCAGTAAAACATCTTTTCTCTAGTCTGGTACCAAGTTGAACCGGGGTCGTTGAACCGGCCCAGAGTTCTGACCGGCTGACAGAAAGAAACCAGCTTAACGTTACTCTGAAGCTTCCTTGTCCAGCTGGTGTTTGATTCAGCATCCAAATTGCTTCGTCCAGAACTGTGGCGGCCGTTCACCCCAGAACCGCCTGGTACCTTCAAATGGACCACAGTCTGTCCCTTCTGCTGTCTGAACCTTTGAACTCTAGTCCAGCTGAAACCTGGTGCAAGAAACAAATGGACAGGAAGTGATGTCTGATTCATCGATATAGATGTAAAACGTGGCCGGTTTCCACGGTGTGGGACATCCAGCAGACCGACTCTTCATGGTCCCTCCAGAATCTTCTCTTTGTCTTGCTGAACCTTTTGTTTCCTGTCATGTTTCTTTGTTCTTCTGTCTGTTTGAAACAGGAAGTCTTTACTGAGCATGCTCCAACTGTTTGTTGGTAATAAAGAGAACGAAATAAAGTTTGATTCAAATCTGTCAGGTTCTAAGCATCACATCTGGTTCTAACTTCAAATGGGAAATAATTCAGGGAAAGAGTCCGGACTCTAGGGGGCGCTATTACACACCAGACTCTAGGTGGTGATGCACTCTCCCACTGAGCCTGGTTCTGGTTCTGCTGCAGGTTTCTCCTTGTTCAAGTGGAGTTTTCCCCTCCACTGTCGCCTGATGCATGTTCAGGTCTGTCCCTTTGTAAAAACACTGACATTAGAAACTAGATAGAAAGAAAGAAGTAGCTGGTTCAGTTTCAACTTTTCCTTTTTAGTTTCTGTTCCGAACTCGATTAGTCGGATCAACATTTCCCTCCAGTCTGAATCAACAACTGGATGTGGTAGCAATGTGTGGGTTCTGGTTCTGGATCTCATCAGAACATCTGTGAGCTCTTTAACTCCCCAGAAACAGTGAGAGTACCTGGAACCTGGTCTGGAAAACCAGGTCAGGTTTGTTCTGATGGAGCAGAAATCAAATATTTTCCAGAACCAAGTGTAGGAGGATCAGACTGGGCCTCTGGTTCCGACCAGGGCCGAACCTCCGGTTCTGGACCTCTGGTCGTGATGAGCAGGACGGTGGTCCATCTTGACAGACCGGACGGGCCAGACTGGACCTGCAGGATAGCTACACCGGCCGGTCTTGGTGTCTGACAGAGTTTGGGATCCGGGCCGACCCTGAAACCGACTCGGGTCGACCAGAACCGGATCTGAGAACAAATCTGCTGCTGCACGGAACCAGGGGTCCAGTTGGGTCCATCTGAGTCGGACCAGAACCGCCGTCTGGTCATGGTCCAGATTTCAGAACCTCCAGCTGATGCCTTCATCCAGCGGGGGGCGCTGTGATGCTGCGGAGGAGCCGCTGAGCCAGCGGGGAGTCCGCGGGAGGAGGAGAGGAGGAGGAGTAATCGGACACCGACCCCTAGAGCTGCTCAGAGAGAAGCGGAGCCCGGCGGCGGGTCGGTCAGTCTGTCAACCCCGCGGACAGCGAGCGGAGGAGCGGGCGGAGCAGAGCGGGACTCTCCGGCCTCCCTGCGGAACTTTCCCGGCTTCAGCGGCTCCATCGCGGCTGCCGCTCCGCAGCGCTGCGTGGACGAATAACGGAGTTGCATGAAAAGTGGGAGAAGTTGCGTTTCAGCTCACGATGAAGAAGAACAGCTCCGGGAAACGGGTGAGTCCAGACGGACCGGTACTGGTTGCTTGTTACAGTTAAGCTGAATCTGGAGGAACAAAAGCCCCAGGATTAGGTTGAACTTTTATTCTGAAGGCCGTAAAAGCCGCTATTTGCTGCGGACTCTGTTTCCGACTTCAGAAGAAAGGTACGGTTTGTTATTGTGCAGTTTAAAGAGGTCGGGTTCTGCTAGGTTCGGTGTAAAGACTTTGAAAAGTTATTAAAAAAATAGTCTCCCTGCAGAGAAGGGTGATGCGTTCAGGTGTAAACAGATGTGTCAGTGAATCAGGAAGCTGAGAGGGGAACCCAGAGCAGAGTGACAGTTAATCTGCCAACAGCTTAAAGGCTCATGTTACACGTTAGATAACTAACATCTGACACCTGAAACGCACCACAGACCCATTGGAATAAACCAGGCCCTGAACGCATCATAGGCTGGTAAGAATAATGACTGGTAGCCTGAACGCACCACCTGTCAGATCTCTTTCTTCTGCTGATGGACTCATGTTCTAATCAGAACCACGCAGGTCAGAGGTCAGCACTAGAGTTTAGCTTCCTGTTTCAGGGTCCGGCGGAGCCCGGCCAGCAGAACTCAGCGCCGGACAAAACGGGCTGGATCAGGAAGTTCTGTGGGAAGGGGATCTTCAGGGAGATCTGGAAGAACCGCTTCGTGGTTCTGAAAGGAGACCAGCTGTTCATCTGTGAGAAGGAGGTGAGTCCGGGGCGGGGCCTATTGAGGAGAGGCGTGGCTTATAGATAACTGGGCGGGGCTTGTACAGGACTGGGCGGGGGGGCAGCAGTGGCCGGGGTTCTCTGGACACATTCTGCACGCTTCAGTCTGAAGAACATTCAGAACCTCAGAGTTCGACTGGACCCGGCAGAACCTGATGTTCCTCTGCGATCTGGTTTGGTTCCATCCGGTTCTCCTTCACTTCCTGCTGCTGACAGGAGTCCAGTTTCAGTCTGAGAGGAACACAGAAAGATCAGGTTTCACTGTGGAGCTGAACCCGCCTCACAGAACCAGAGATTAGAACCTTCTGGTCTCACTGCAGTGAGTTCGAACCCAAAGTGTCTGGTACCGTTGGTTCTCTCTTAAACCAGTCCCAGATCCTGCAGGGAACTGGAGAACAGAGCTGGTTCTGGTTCTGTGATGCGTTCATGTTCTCTTCCTGTCGGCACCATATTAGGCCTGGTGCGTTGGTTCAGAGCGTTACCGTGGCAACCAGCCTCTTCCTGTCAGCGGCGGCCGTCTTCCTGTCCGATCAGAAATAACTTGATCAGAACCACAGAGGAACTGAAACCGAGCCGGTCGGACCTTCACAACCTTTAGAGGTCCGATCTGGGAGGAAAGTTTTTCCAGTTCCCACTTCAGTTAGCCTCTGCAGGGGGTGGGCAACTCCAGGCCTGGAGGGGCTCCTGCAACTTTTAGATGCTTCTCTACTTCAACACACCTGAGTCAAATGATGAGGTCATTAGCAGGACTCTGGAGAACCGGACTGCATTCAGCTGTTGGACCAGGAGACACTGCAGGACACCGGCCCTCGAGGACCAGGAGTGTCCACCCCTGAGTTAGAGGGAAGCGGATCACCAGAACCATTCTGGTGGTTCTGATCCGGTTTCAGATCAGCCGGTCTGAAACCGGTCTGTGGGGGCCTGCTGGTTTCCACGGTAACCACGGTAGCTCCTGAGGTAACCAATGGCAACCAGCCGGAAGCGGGTCGGGCCGACTCGGTTCTGGATTTCAATTTGTTTCTCAAATCAGTTCCTCACAGACTTGCAAACAATCCGAGGAGATCGGCACCTGAGGTCACACGGGGTCAACAGGGGTCACCTGGGGTACGCAGGTCAGAAGCAGCTGACTCTTGTCTTTGTCTAAAATCATCAGAACTTCAGACAAACGTTCTGGATCCATGTGATTCCACCAGGCGGTTCTGATTCTGGATCAGAAGCACGCTGCTGGACAGCCAGAGGTCAGAAGTCAGCGCGGCTCATTATGTAACCATTCTCAGAGAGTATTGATTATCGATCGATGATGCAACATCGGCGGGAACAAACGCCCCAGGATGCAGACGGACTCAGAGCAGAGGTTCTGGTTCTGATCAGTCCAGACGAGTTTAACAGGAGACAAAAAGAATCTCCTTGGCAACAATAATATTATTCAAGTAAAAGAAAAAGGCACAGAGCAGTAAAATGGTAAATGGACTGAACATATATAGCGCGTTTCCAGTCATTTTGACCACTCAAAGCGCTTTACACTGGAGTCACATTCACCCATTCACACACACATTCATAAATCGATACGCAGACCGGTAGGCAATATAAAACTACTCTGATATGAACCTTTTTTCCAAAAAAGTTACTCAAGTGAATGTAACCAGCACTCCTCACTTCATGAACATAAACACCAGTAGCCTACAGGCTGCTAGTTAACAAGCTAAAGGTGCTGTTCTGGTGTTACCTAGTCATCTCTTAGCTAACATTAGCTAGACATCTTTAGCTAAACAGCTAGCTAGTCATCTTTTAGCTAACATTATTTAGGCATCTTTTAGCTAACATTATCTAGTATTCTTTTAGCTAACATTATCTAGTCATCTCTTAGCTAACATTAGCTAGACATCTTTTAGCTAACATTAGCTAGACATCTTTTAGCTAACATTATTTAGGCATCTTTTAGCTAACATTATCTAGTATTCTTTTAGCTAACATTATCTAGGCATCTTTTAGCTAACATTAGCTAGTAATCTTTTAGCTAACATTATCTAGTCATCTTTTAGCTAACATTATCTAGGCATCTTTTAGCTAACATTAGCTAGTCATCTTTTAGCTAACATTAGCTAGACATCTTTTAGCTAACATTATCTAGGCATCTTTTAGCTAACATTAGCTAGACATCTTTTAGCTAACATTAGCTAGACATCTTTTAGCTAACATTAGCTAGACATCTTTTAGCTAACATTATCTAGGCATCTTTTAGCTAACATTAGCTAGACATCTTTTAGCTAACATTATTTAGGCATCTTTAGCTAACATTATCTAGTATTCTTTTAGCTAACATTATCTAGGCATCTTTTAGCTAACAATAGCTAGTAATCTTTAGCTAACATTATCTAGTCATCTTTTAGCTAACATTATCTAGGCATCTTTTAGCTAACATAGCTAGTCATTTAGCTAACATTAGCTAGACATCTTTTAGCTAACATTATCTAGGCATCTTTTAGCTAACATTAGCTAGACATCTTTTAGCTAACATTAGCTAGACATCTTTTAGCTAACATTATTTAGGCATCTTTTAGCTAACATTATCTAGTATTCTTTAGCTAACATTATCTAGGCATCTTTTAGCTAACATTAGCTAGTAATCTTTTAGCTAACATTATCTAGTCATCTTTTAGCTAACATTATCTAGGCATCTTTTAGCTAACATTAGCTAGTCATCTTTTAGCTAACATTAGCTAGACATCTTTTAGCTAACATTATCTAGGCATCTTTTAGCTAACATTAGCTAGACATCTTTTAGCTAACATTAGCTAGACATCTTTTAGCTAACATTAGCTAGACATCTTTTAGCTAACATTATCTAGGCATCTTTTAGCTAACATTAGCTAGTCATCTTTTAGCTAACATTAGCTAGACATCTTTTAGCTAACATTATCTAGGCATCTTTTAGCTAACATTAGCTAGACATCTTTTAGCTAACATTAGCTAGACATCTTTTAGCTAACATTAGCTAGACATCTTTTAGCTAACATTAGCTAGACATCTTTTAGCTAACATTATCTAGGCATTTTAGCTAACATTAGCTAGTCATCTTTTAGCTAACATTAGCTAGGCATCTTTTAGCTAACATTATTTAGACATCTTTTAGCTAACATTATCTAGGCATCTTTTAGCTAACATTAGCTAGTCATCTTTTAGCTAACATTATATAGGCATCTTTTAGTTAACATTATCTAGGCATCTAGCTAACAGTATCTAGTCATCTTTTAGCTAATAGAAGGCACAGATAGGACATCCGCCCATCCCACCTGTATCTGGCGGTTCTGCCTGGCAGCAGTGTCGGGTCAGAGCCCAGTAGAACCGGCAGGGGGCTGGTTCCCAGGAAGTCTCAACTTAAGGCTGCTCAATAATAGATGCTGTTTCCATGGAGACAGACGGGATGGGATGAAGCTGGAGGTGATCAGAGGGAGGACTGGGTCTGGTTCTGACCCAGTGAAGGTTCAAGAGGTTCCAGAGTGGTTGTGGTTCTGCTGCTGTGTTCGGAACCTGCTGTTCTGTTGATGACGTTGTTCAGATCCTGATCCAGCCAGTGAGCGGTTCTGGTTCTGGAGCAGCCCAGCAGGTCCACATCACCACCTGCCACCACTGTGCCTCATTCATGGTTACCATGATAACCGGCCTCACCTGGCCTGATCTAACCTTGAACTGTCGCCCCTCCTGGTGACCTGGTGTTGATCCTCCAGGCTCCGCCTCCTCAGTCAGTTACCGTACTTCCTGTGTGTGTCCAGGTGAAGGAACTGGGCCGGGCCGATGAAGTTCTGGACCTGTCCGACTATGAACGCTGCGAAGAGATCAGGAAGAACAAGAGCCGCAGCAAGAAGAACCACAGCAAGTTCAGACTGCAACGCTGCAGCTCCCCAGGCAACATGGTACACGCCTGCAGACAAGGCTAGACGCCTGCAGACAGGCTACACGCCTGCAGACAAGCTACACGCCTGCAGACAAGGCTACACGCCTGCAGACAGGCTACACGCCTGCAGACAAGCTACACGCCTGCAGACAGGCTACACGCCTGCAGACAGGCTAAACGGCTGGAGACAGGCTGCACGCCTGAAGACAGGCTACACGCCTGAAGACAGGCTACACGCCTGGAGACAGGCTACACGCCTGCAGACAGGCTACACGCCTGGAGACAAGCTACAAGCCTGCAGACAAGCTACACGCCTGCAGACAGGCTACACGGCTGGAGACAGGCTACACGCCTGCAGACAGGCTACACGGCTGGAGACAGGCTACATGCCTGCAGACAGGCTACACGGCTGGAGAGACAGGCTACACGCCTGCAGACAGGCTACACGCCTGGAGACAGGCTACATGCCTGCAGACAGGCTACACGGCTGGAGACAGGCTACACGCCTGCAGACAGGCTACACGCCTGTAGACAGGCTACACGCCTGGAGACAGGCTACACGCCTGGAGACAGGCTACACGCCTAGAGTCAGGCTACACGCCTGGAGACAGGCTACACGCCTGCAGACAGGCTACACGCCTGGAGACAGGCTACACGGCTGGAGACAGGATACACGCCAGCAGACAGGCTACACGCCTGCAGACAGGCTACGTGCCTGGAGACAGGCTACACGGCTGGAGACAGGCTATACGCCTGCAGACAGGCTACACGCCTGGAGACAGGCTACACGGCTGGAGACAGGCTATACGCCTGCAGACAGGCTACGTGCCTGGAGACAGGCTATACGCCTGCAGACAAGCTACACGCCTGGAGACAGGCTACACGCCTGGAGACAGGCTACATGCCTGGAGACAGGCTACATGCCTGCAGACAGGCTACACGGCTGGAGACAGGCTATACGCCTGCAGACAGGCTACGTGCCTGGAGACAGGCTATACGCCTGCAGACAAGCTACACGCCTGGAGACAGGCTACACGCCTGGAGACAGGCTACATGCCTGGAGACAGGCTACACGCCTGCAGACAGGCTACACGGCTGGAGACAGGCCACATGCCTGCAGACAGGCTACACGGCTGGAGACAGGCTACACACCAGCAGACAGGCTACACGCCTGTAGACAGGCTACAAGGCTGGGAGACAGGCTACACGCCTGGAGACAGGCTACACGGCTGGAGACAGGCTATACGCCTGCAGACAGGCTACGTGCCTGGAGACAGGCTATACGCCTGCAGACAAGCTACACGCCTGGAGACAGGCTACATGCCTGGAGACAGGCTACACGCCTGCAGACAGGCTACACGCCTGCAGACAGGCTACACGGCTGGAGACAGGCTGCACGCCTGAAGACAGGCTACACGCCTGAAGACAGGCTACACGCCTGGAGACAGGCTACACGCCTGCAGACAGGCTACACGGCTGGAGACAGGCTACACACCAGCAGACAGGCTACACGCCTGTAGACAGCTACAAGGCTGGAGACAGGCTACACGCCTGGAGACAGGCTACACGGCTGGAGACAGGCTATACGCCTGCAGACAGGCTACGTGCCTGGAGACAGGCTATACGCCTGCAGACAAGCTACACGCCTGGAGACAGGCTACACGCCTGGAGACAGGCTACATGCCTGGAGACAGGCTACATGCCTGCAGACAGGCTACACGGCTGGAGACAGGCTATACGCCTGCAGACAGGCTACGTGCCTGGAGACAGGCTATACGCCTGCAGACAGGCTACGTGCCTGGAGACAGGCTATACGCCTGCAGACAAGCTACACGCCTGGAGACAGGCTACACGCCTGGAGACAGGCTACATGCCTGGAGACAGGCTACACGCCTGCAGACAGGCTACACGCCTGCAGACAGGCTACACGCCTGAAGACAGGCTACACGCCTGCAGACAGGCTACATGCCTGCAGACAGGCTAAACGCCTGCAGACAGGCTACACGCCTGGAGACAGGTTACACGCCTGGAGACAGGCTACATGCCTGCAGAAAGGCTACACGCCTGGAGACAGGCTACACGGCTGGAGACAGGCTATACGCCTGCAGACAGGCTACGTGCCTGGAGACAGGCTATACGCCTGCAGACAAGCTACACGCCTGGAGACAGGCTACACGCCTGGAGACAGGCTACACGCCTGGAGACAGGCTACATGCCTGCAGACAGGCTACACGGCTGGAGACAGGCTATACGCCTGCAGACAGGCTACGTGCCTGGAGACAGGCTATACGCCTGCAGACAAGCTACACGCCTGGAGACAGGCTACATGCCTGGAGACAGGCTACATGCCTGGAGACAGGCTACACGCCTGCAGACAGGCTACACGCCTGCAGACAGGCTACACGGCTGGAGACAGGCTGCACGCCTGAAGACAGGCTACACGCCTGGAGACAGGCTACAAGCCTGGAGACAGGCTACACGCCTGGAGACAGGCCACATGCCTGCAGACAGGCTACACGGCTGGAGACAGGCTACACACCAGCAGACAGGCTACATGCCTGTAGACAGGCTACAAGGCTGGAGACAGGCTACACGCCTGGAGACAGGTTACACGCCTGGAGACAGGCTACACGGCTGGAGACAGGCTATACGCCTGCAGACAGGCTACGTGCCTGGAGACAGGCTATACGCCTGCAGACAAGCTACACGCCTGGAGACAGGCTACACGCCTGGAGACAGGCTACATGCCTGGAGACAGGCTACATGTCTGCAGACAGGCTACACGCCTGGAGACAGGCTACACGCCTGCAGACAGGCTACACGCCTGCAGACAGGCTACACGCCTGAAGACAGGCTACACGCCTGGAGACAGGCTACACGCCTGGAGACAGGCTACACGCCTGGAGACAGGCTACACGCCTGCAGACAGGCTACAAGGCTGGAGACAGGCTACACGCCTGCAGACAGGCTACACGCCTGCAGACAGGCTACACGGCTGGAGACAGGCTACACGCCTGTAGACAGGCTACACGCCTGTAGACAGGCTACACGCCTGGAGACAGGCTACATGCCTGTAGACAGGCTACACGCCTGCAGACAGGCTACACGCCTGGAGACAGGCTACATGCCTGGAGACAGGCTACACGCCTGCAGACAAGCTCCACGCCTGGGGACAGGATACACGCCTGCAGACAGGCTACACGGCTGGAGACAGGCTACACGCCTGCAGACAGGTTACACGGCTGGAGACAGGCTACACGCCTGCAGACAGGATACACACCTGGAGACAGGCTACACGCCTGCAGACAGGCTACACGCTTGGAGACATCCTACACGCCTGGAGACAGGCTACACGCCTGCAGACAGGCTGCACGCCTGGAGACAGGCTACACGCCTGCAGACAGGCTACACGGCTGGAGACAGGCTACACGCCTGCAGACAGGCTACATGGCTGGAGACAGGCTACACGCCTGCAGACAGGCTACATGGCTGGAGACAGGCTACACGCCTGTAGACAGGCTACACGCCTGGAGACAGGCTACATGCCTGGAGACAGGCTACAAGCCTGCAGACAAGCTACCCGCCTGGGGACAGGATACACGCCTGCAGACAGGCTACACGGCTGGAGACAGGATACACGGCTGGAGACAGGCTACACACGTGCAGACAGGCTACAAGGCTGGAGACAGGCTACATGCCTGCAGACAGGCTACACGCCTGGAGACAGGCTACACGCCTGCAGACAAGCTACACGCCTGGAGACAGGCTACACGCGTGCAGACAGGCTACACGCCTGGAGACAGCCTACACACCTGGAGACAGGCTACACGCCTGCAGACAGGCTACACACCTGCAGACAGGCTACACGCCTGCAGACAGGCTACACGGCTGGAGACAGGCTACATGCCTGCAGACAGGCTACACGCCTGCAGACAGGCTACACGCCTGGAGACAGGATACACGCCTGGAAACAGGCTACACGCCTGCAGACAGGTTACACGCCTGCAGACAGGCTACAAGGCTGGAGACAGGCTACAGGGCTGGAGACAGGCTACACGCCTGCAGACAGGCTACACGGCTGGAGACAGGCTACACGCCTGCAGACAGGTTACACGCCTGCAGACAGGCTACAAGGCTGGAGACAGGCTACACGGCTGGAGACAGGCTACATGCCTGCAGACAGGCTACATGCCTGGAGACAGGCTACACGGCTGGAGACAGGATACATGCCTGGAGACAGGCTACACGCCTGGAGACAGGATACATGCCTGGAGACAGGATACATGCCTGGAGACAGGCTACACGCCTGGAGACAGGATACATGCCTGGAGACAGGCTACACGCCTGCAGACAGGCTACACGCCTGGGGACAGGATACACGCCTGCAGACAGGCTACACGGCTGGAGACAGGCTACACGGCTGGAGACAGGCTACACGCCTGGAGACAGGCTACACCCCTGAATCATAATCAGTTAGCATTAGCTGTGAGTCACCTGTACGGTGCTGCGTCCATTATGACATCATTCAGGTGGGCGGGGCCGAACCAGGTGGACTGACAGGCAGAAATATTTTGATTTCTGACAGACAATAACAGCTCATCATCATCATGAAATAATTGACTTATCATCATCATGAACCACATCAACACTGGCACACCCGGTGGACAGTAGCCCCCCTGACCAGGTGTGCCTCTGTCCTGCAGGTGCCCAACCAGGTGTTCCTGGCTGTCAGCCCGGAGGAGAAGGACTCCTGGATCAACATCCTGAACACGGCCATCACCAGAGCCAAGAACCGGATCCTGGATGAGGTACCAGCAGAACCACAACAGAATCGCCCTCCATTTGGCCCAGTTTAACCTGATCCAGTCTCGGTTCTTTCCCTCAGGTGATGGTGGATGACTCCCAGCTGTCTCACCTGACCAGAGACCGAGTGAAGATCCCTCACAACCGCCGGCTGCCCACCAGAGGCCACCTGCTGGCTGTGGTCAGTATGACGCCTTCCTGTAGGTCCCACATCCGTCCAGAACCCAGAACATTCCGGCCCGCCCAAGGGCCCGCATGTTTGGGCTCATCGGTTCCTCAGAACCAGCTGTGACCCGTTTCCTGTGTGTCCGCCAGGCGTCCACCTCCTCCTCAGATGGGATGCTGACCCTTGACCTCATCCAGGAGGAGGACTCAGTGTCTCATAAAGGCGTGGCTTCGGAACCGCCGGCCCAGCCCGGTCCAGACTGTTCCCGGTCCCAGATGGATGGGTCGCTGGCAGACCGGACTGCTGAGTCTTCCTCCAAGTCCCAGAGCGAGACGGCCGTGTGGCAGAGGACGGGTTCGGCCCAGAGCCCCAGCCAGACCGGCGGCTGTGCGCCGTGGAGAAGAACTGCTGCGTCTCCATGGACGAGATCCTGAACCTGGACGCCAAGAACCAAACCCCGACCGGAACCTGCAGAACCGCGGCACCGCTCTGCCGGCTGCAGGAGCTCATCGACCAGAAGCTGCAGCGGACGGAGCAGCTCCTGCTGGAAATCCAGGCCGAGCCGGGCGGCGCCAAGGGCGGGATGCCAGCACCGGATGGCCCGCGGGCCGAGGCGCAGCGGCTCCTGGAGGAGGCGGCGGCCGTCTGGACCGAGGCCCGGCAGGTTCTGGACGAGGTCCAGGAGCTGAAGGCGCTGTACCGCCAGCTGGAGCCCGGCTGCCTCAACAGCACCAAACCCAACCGCAAGAGCCTGATGTGAATCAGCCAGACAAGAACCACAGCCCGGTTCTGGACTCTGCTGGGTCATAAAGACTTCCTGTGGTTCCGTTTCCCTCATCAACCCTGTCAGAAGTTCCTGTTCTGTTGAACCTGGCTGGGTCTCTGAAGCTCCGCCCACAAACACCTGAACATCAGGTGTCCTCAGGTATCTGTGGCTTCAGGAAGAACTTTGACCTGAGGTTCTGGTTGGACGACTCCTGGGTTTGGACCCGTCTAAAGATCTGCTGTAAAATATTGAAATGCTGCTTTTTATGTTTTTATTTTAAAGTTGATGGACATCAACGTCTATGCAGATGATGTGGTTCTGTTGGCTATAGGTCCGATTGGCTCCAGGGGAGCAGGTTCTGGTGGAGAAGGAAATTATCTGGACCTTCAGCCACCTTCCAGTTCTCAGCTCTGGACCAGAACCAACAGTATCTGGTTCTGGACGGAGGCAGATAGAAGCGGGTCAGGCGTTCTGCCTCAGTCAGGACCGGATCAGGAGAATTCTTCTCATTCAGCTCATTACTGTGAAAATCATTCAGGTATGGCTATAGCATTAGCATTTCCCATCAGCCACTTGAATTTCAGGATGACGGCCATCTTTCAAGATGGCTGCTGTTTTTTACACCCTTTTATGTTTGCCATAAAACATTTCCCATTTTCATGACTTGGATTAATTTTATGTGACATGATGTTTCAGTTGTCGCTTCATGAATCGTTGAAGCGATAAGGCGTCACGTTGTGCCTGGAGAGAAGTATGGGCGTTTCAAAACAGGAGACTTGAAGACTAGAGACAGTCAACATAACGTTAGTTTTTTTTTTTTTGTTTAGCAGTTTAGCTTATGTTTATGGTTTTAAAGCATTTAGCAGGTGACAAGGCTGATGTTGAGGTATGTTCATGAGACAGGTGTTAACCGTAAGTCCCCCAGGCAGACAGGAAGAGGCTGGGTATTCAACAACAACCACCTTCTCTTCCTTCAGTGACTGTGTGGTCAAACATCCCTCAAGGACAACAGTTTGGCCAGATAATATCATTTGTAGTTGGTCAGGCTGCAGAGTTAGGACAACTGGATGTTCAGATGCAGTTTGACTATGCCTGTGCTGCAGGATCTTCTTGATACCCAAAGGGTTAGGGTATCAAGAAGGGTTTAAATGGGTTTAAAAGTAGTAGCCTTGCTCTCAAGGTGCTTCTTGTAAGCAATGTCAAGGGTATTTGTGCCTAATAGAAGTGGATGTGTGGTTTTGGTATCTGGAACCACCAGAGCTAGGGTGTCCACTTCAGTTGGTGAGCCAAGAAATTCGGGTGGAAAAGTCACATTTAATTCAATGTACCCAAGGTATGGTACATTTTGGCCATTGGCACCCTCAACTTCCAACAGATTGTTCAGAGGCATAATTTCATGGTCAAAAAGGTGCATATTATAAAATGAATGGGGTACTGTAGTGACTTGCGACCCACTGTCAAGAAGACAGCTGAAGGGTGTTCCTTTGATTTGAATCTGGCCCATGCTCTTCATACCAATGAGACCCTTGGGTAATACACAGGACAATTCAGAATGGGATTCGGGACAGCTGATGGTAGCAGCTCCTGAGTGTCCCTCAGCAGGAACTGCATTTAGTTTAACTGCTGGCTCGATTTTTTTCCATCCCACGTTTGTTGTTTCTGACGAAGCTTCTTCTTCTTTGGCTTGGAGTCGCTTTGTTACTACAATGGGAAGAAATATGGCATCTTCACCACAGTTAAAACAGTGTCCTGCCTTTGGTCTTCCAGCGGTCTGAAGTGAGGTATAGCTAGTACTTGGTTTAGACTTGGTCTGCTGCAGCTCTGATTTTTTTCTAACAGGTGTCTTTCTGGACATGAGGGAAGACATCTGCCTTTGGAGTTGTTGAATCTGCTGTTTTAATGCTTTCAGTTCTTCATTAACTGTCTCATGACCACAAGAGCAAGTACTCTGAGACTGAATGGTCACTTTTTGTTTAGATGACTGAATGTGCTTTCTCATTAGAGATTCTTTAGCAATTTGTCTGTCCTCTTCTGTCTGGAGTGACAACAAGAGTTCAGAAAATGGTGGGGGATTGCTTTTCTTCTCCTCAAGCTGCAACTTAGAGATGACTGAATTGTCCCAGCATCCACGACAAAACTGTTTAAGTAAATATGTGTCCTTGTCTCCTGGTAATATTCCTCCTCTTTTTATTACTGTGCTGAGGGTAAGCTGTAATCGCTGCAGGTAAGAGGATGGCCGCTCTCCAGGATTCTGAAAAATGTTCAGAAACTGAGCAAAAAGCTCCTCTCCATCCTGTACCGTCTGAAAAGCTGAATCAAGGACTTCAAGAAGAGTGGAAGGTGATGCACCAGGGCTCAAACATTTAATCAAATCAGCAGCTGGTGATAACAAACTTTCAACAATTTGCCGATTAATATGCAATCTGGAAAGGCTGGGATCAGCAAGCAGCAATTCAATCTGGGATCGCCATGAGTCATAATCCGCTTCATTGCTTGGTTTAGGAATTTTTCCTGAAAATGAGCGGAGTCTAAGTGAAGATGTGGAAAAGTCACTATTTTTTACAACATGCTCCACCACCACTTTTTGAACATTCTGCGGAATAAGGTCATTCCCCGACAAAGAGACCCTCTGGGTTGGCGGTGTAAGGGGCGGCTAAATCCAGGTGGCGCCCCCTGCCAATTAGTGGACGAATGGGGTGGAGGGGCTGAAAACGCTTGAGGCACAGCTAGCAGCGTCTGCTGACTTTGGGCTATGTTGAGGATTTCATCTTTCTTATCTTTCTCCTTTTCATCACCACCATCATCATCCTCATCTCCATCATCGCCTCCTGCATTCTCCAAATGTGTGCTTATTTAATCCATCACACCTTCGAGAACCTCCTCAAATTGTTTTCCGCTTCGTTTAGCTATGTTCTTCAGCTCATCAATGTAGTCCATGGAAGGGCTGCTGCTACTCACTGAGGCTTCATACTCTGAAGCAAGAGAGGTAATACAAAATATCACATCTAGTCCACTTCAGGAAGGATAATTATATGGGGAAATGGGTTGTAATGCAATTAATGTAGAATCTTCTACAAACTCGACAATCAGGTTTTTATAAAATGCACTTTGTGGATCACTAACATGAAAAACCTCTTACTGCACCATAACATTCTAAACGTTCAATGATCTCTTTTTCATCATCACAGCTCTGAGTGCCAGTAACTAACACAGATCGTTGGATGTTTAAACCCAACTGAGTAACAACATCTATTGTTTCTTTTTGTTAAAGATAATACATCCAAAATCAAAGCGCTGTGGAATTGTTCAATTATTCACCCGTTACAAGACTCCTGGCTGGCTCGCCACATGTAACGCTTTCTTTAGATGCGCAGATCTGACTGCGAGGTGTAGGGTTAACCAGTTTGTAGATCAGAAGTAGGTACGACATGGAGTCATGATTAGGTGAATAATTAATACAATTGATGCCAAAAAAGGTTTGTTAATACTGCTATTTATTGTAGTGGCAATAATAATAATAATACCAAAAAAATAAATAATGTTCTCAAAAGAAACAGAAAAAGAGAAAACAAACCATCAAAACAATTATAATAATAATCTGTGACACTTCAAAACCTAATAGAGTCCACAAGAGGTCCAAAATGAAGGGAGAATAGTTATTTTCCCTTTTTAATACTCCTTAGAGTCTGTTCAGTTCCTACATGGAAGGTGTAGTTCTGTTTCCTACCACCAGAGGGTGGGTGGGTAGCTCGCCATCTTACGTCATCAAGTGTGTCAGTGAAAAAACCTGACCTAAAAGGCCAGTAAACACACATTAAGTTCAAATGTAAATGTTATATTTAAACAAGTAGAAAACAAATACATACTTACTATGTTTTGACAACTTCATAATAATAAGAAAAAAAATCCTTTTAAAAAGTGCACTTCATAATTCAAGTTCAAAATTACTTAATTGACATAATTAGTAGTCGTTACAAACAAAACTAATATTGAATCAAATCAATCAATTTAAAAATGTGATTGATCAAAATAGCTACAAACTAAATCATGTTGGATACCAAACTTCATTGCTGCACCAGGATAGAAATCATGAAAAACAATCAACTCTAAAGTTGAAGGGGAAACCCTTAAGTATTAAAGGTGTGGTCTTTACTCCCGCTGCAACAGTGTGACTGTTCATTAAGTTAGTAAGTAATGTTAATGTTAATGTTAATGAGTCACAACCTGGCGAATATTGCAATGGGAGGGAAATATTAGCGGCACTATTATTGCAGATACAATACAACGTCAAGTCAGATGGTATTTGACAACTCACCGCAAATCTCCAAAGCTTAGAGATTAAATGATGAGTCGATTTAGAAACTTCAAGTTGTTTTATCAACAACCAACAGTGAGCAGCAGCCAACCTGGAAACACGGGACAATGAACTGAAAGATGATTGGGTCATGGGTCATGTCGGTCACATGGGTTACAATAGCATTTAGCAATAGAATCTGCTATTTTTTAAATTCACCTCGTGGTTCAGCATTAGCATAGCTAAGGTTCTTGTTCAGGGAATTATTAGTTATTGAAGCTAACATTTCAGTTAGCCCGCTACTGGCAATAACTGATATTATTCCAACCATATACTATCCAACGACCACGACGGCCATTTTGAAACACAGAGGAAGAAAATATGATGCTAATGTCTCAAAATACGTAGGATGTGATTTGACACCAAATACAATGGCGGCCATCTTGAAAAATTTATTTTAAAAAATAACTATCAGTAAATATGGGTTCATTTGTACATGATTTGACACCAAAGTATGCATCTGTGATAAATATTTTCAGTTTTAGTGAAAAAAATTGAATTGACAACAGTGGTGGCCATCTTGAAAGATGGCAGCCATCTTGAATTTTTCAGTGGCAGTTTTTGTTGTTTTGTTTTTTCGAAGAAGCAAGCCCTGGTGACATCTGTGCCAAGTTAAGTTGTAGCATCCGCATGCTACCTGTTGCTCTGTGGCTTTTTCACTGGGCGGAGAACCCGGCCGCCCAGAACCACCCAAAGGTTCTGCTGGATCCACAGAGGAGACAGGAGGTCCATTTGAGTTTTGGCTTTCTGTAGAACAGAACTGACCTGTTCACACCCACCTGCAGGTTTTCTAGAAGGTCCTGCTGAAAACAGCTGGTTCTGACAGTCCCGAGGCGTTCAGAACCAGAACCAGCAGGTTCTGAGGTAGATTTAAACGGACCTGCCAGACCACCAGGCTAAATGTGCCAACCGTTCTTTGGTTCTTTGTTCCATGGAGATCTGGTTCGATCCAGAGTGTAGAGTCGGATCTCCCATGTGGCGTTTCTTCCTCGGACTGATGGTTCCTGTGGAGCAGTCGGTACCGGTGGATCCATTCCAGAGTTCTAACAGAACCGCTGACTCCAGCTGATGGACCGACTGGAGAAGGTTCCTTAAGCAGGATAATCGTCTCTTCCTCCTGTCCAGTTCCGTTTCTTTGGTTCGACCCAAACAGCTCCAACACACAGGAACCAGAACAGCAGCACTGGTTCTGGTTCTGTTACGTACCGGTACGATGTTGGTCTGAGCCCTGGTGGATTTTTCTCTGGATAGAAACTTTTTCACAGCGGGAAACTCAGGGGAACCAGAGACTGGATTGATCAGAA